AAGTCCGAAGTCTTTATATTAAGGGCCATCAGTCAAACAATACTGTTTGCTCTGGGTCTAAACAGAGCGCGTTGTGTGTGACGTCTTCTTTTGCGCATGCGGCCACTTTGAGCACTAAAGAGCGCGTTTGCTGTCGCATTTTATTTGTAGTGTGAACGAGCAGACAAAAAAATCAGATTTGATCAAAAAATCGGATTTGAGCATCAAGACCTGCAGTGTGAACGTAGCCTTAGTCACTCTCAGAAGCTCAGTGAACTCTATTATGGTACCGTGATAGGATGCCACCTGTGCAACAAGTATAGTCATGTTACTAAATATTTCACAGTTATGTGTTAGTGGTATTACAATGAAGTAGTCACATAGTGGTAGGCCAATTAAAATCTCAGCAGGCGCTGAGGTGCGTAGTCCACAGAGGTCGCTAGCTTTCTGCAGCGTCACTATAGACCTCCAAACTTACTGTGGAACGTGGAGTGGATTGTGTTTTCACGGCTGAGCAAATACTTTTGGCAGCACAGTTTAATTTTTAATTGGACATTTTATTTTAGATCAAATGAAATGCAAGTCACAGCACTTAGACAGAACCAGCAGTATATACAGTGTAAGCTAGTCAACGAGCAGTGAGTTTGCAGTGAGCAGTTTGTTTTAATGTGAAAAGATCATCTTTACATATTAGCAGTCATCCTGGACAGCTGATCCCATCTCTTCTTGTTCTCTTCTGCCACTCCTCCCTCATTTATCTTCATTCACTATCATGACTTTAACCTACTGTACTGCTCTCTTCACTGACGATGGAGTGCATGTGTCATCAGAATTGTGAGACGAGGAACAGCCGCAGCTCTTACCGCTGTCGAGGTGGTTGGACTTGATGATCCTCTCGGAGTACTCCGATATACTGGAACACTCAATCTGGCAGAAAAAAAGGAAAGCTATTTAAGTGAAGAATTTCACAGACACTTTGCCTGTACTCACAATAACATGACTTCACTTATAATGCAGGTGATTTTAACTGCCCTACTGATGTTGCCTGGGATAAAAGCCAAACTACCGTATGTTACGTTGCTGTTGCACAAACTGGAAACGTTACATGCATACTCCATGATAAATTACAAAAGTAGATAGAAAATAAATAACAAACTTCTAACAAAAAATTTATGAAACTCTTGAATCCGTTTAGTCATGCAAATACAGATGAATTACATATTGGCAACAACAATAAATCAAAGCATAAAACCAGAAAGCTTCAGTTTCATCCTTGCGACTGATACTGTAACAGCAGTCTGGCGAGGAAGGAGCGGCTAGCTGGTCCAGGATTTGTGGAGGTTAGCCAGATAACTCGAAGCCAGTCGGTTAAATCGAACAACAGATCTTTATTTGTTGTTAGCAACATAAGACCATACAAGCCAGATCTCCACGGCTCTACTCTGTCCGTACATACATGCAGGGAGAATGGTGAGGTCTCTCTGAACAGACACACGAGCAGCATGTAACAGCTGCCACTATACTCACACTGGCTGTGCTATAGCACAATAATAAAGGTTGTTACAATAAGTCATTTTGTGTGATATTTTTAAAATTGTACTTGAGCAGCATTTTCCAAATGTAACTTGTTAAAGTTGTGCTAATTTTTGTGCAGGACATATTTCCAGAGTGTAAACAAACACTTAGCACACTTTATTTAGCCTAGCACAAAACTGGCAGGATGTAGGACCCAAATGCAGGACTCACACACGCGAATGTAACTGTCTCTTCTTCCTCAGAAGACTTAGAGACTTCCATCTGCCACTGAAGGTGCTCAAGAACTTCTACTGCTGCACCATCGAGAG